TCATTTGACAGATTTTACATGGACGAAAACACAAGTTTTAGGGCGAAAACCAGTTTTAGCAACGAAAACATGTTTTCGATGTCGGTCAGAACATGGTATTACGGTCAAGGCATGTTGAATACAGTGTTGCCGTTTCGGTCCAATTGGACCAAAATTGGTAGTTTCATTTTTTAAAATAAGGCTTTGGTAGGTTGGTTGGTTTGTTGTGACAAAGAACGTAAATCTATAAGAGGAGACAACACGTTATAATTGTAGCGAGTGTGAACATCAGGAGCGTGTCTTCTCTTTTCAGCCAATCACAAAACGTATTTGGGCAAAAGAGAAAGAACGTTCCTGATCTTCCCGCTCGTTACAAACAGAGTTGGGCATTATTCGAATAGATTGTTATTTAGATAATTATTCGAATAAAATTTTATCCGTAATATAATTATTCGCAGATAACTTATTCACGAATAAATTATTCGTGAATAAATTGCTTGCGAATAATTTATTCGTTATTTTATTCGTTATTGTTGGAGATGCGAAGCAGTTCGTAATATATTTTTGAATTACATACATTAAAATACACCTCTGTAACATTTGCATGAATGTATCATTTTCTCACTCTCTTTATCCTGTTCTTTTTACTTTGTAACGAATACTTAAATTGAATAAAAGTCAGTCGTGTTTAAGCAGTTGAAATCTTTGGATCATCACGACGCAGTAGTTTTCGGTAAACGTACAGTTTTTCCGGTGATATTAAAAACAAAGAAAAAAACAGTGACTTTAAATAAATACAATGGCTAGTGTTGTGCGTATAGAGCCGCTAAACGCGGAGAACTATGACAGTTGGAAATTGCAAATGCGTGCAATTTTAATTAAAAATGATTTGTGGGGCTACGTCGACGGCACAAACGTGCAGCCGACAGATGAATCGAAATTGCCAGAATGGAAGTTAGCAGATCAAAAGGCGTCTGCGGACATGACGCTTGCTATTTCACCATGTGAGCTAGCCCTGCAAAAATCGCGACTACTCCATGCATGCGTGTAAAGAGTACTCCCTGCGGACCAAAGAGTACTCCAAAATTAACCACAATTCATATAAAAAATATGGTCCAATTAACATTGCGATGTCCTAGGGCAGGACCATATACTCCATCCCTGCATTACATCAGAGTAGCACAAAACTACTCCAACATATTAACAATGGCATTGTTGTTATATTTTTTTGTTTGTACACGCTTTTGTTCTTCACTTCTCAAATGCTTTTTCGAAATTAATAAAAACCAAGACAAAAATTAAAAATTACATGTTGCCTCTGACGGTATTCGAACCCGAACATGCTGGGAGCTAAGAACTAACAGCGAGCATCTCTACACGTTCAGCTACAGCCAGACATGCAAATGTGCTTTCAAATGCTCAACTTCAATCACGTTTCGTTAAAACACGAGCAGTGATCGGATAACAAACAATAAGCTGGCGCAGAGACACGAGTTGGTCCGCTACAGCATGACAGAGGAACACTTTTGTAAGTACTCCAATTTACCACAAATAGACTACATGGTCCAACGATTTTTGCAGGGAGGGCTCATTTTGGAGTGCAAAACTTCGCGTGAAATGTGGTTGAAATTGGAATCGGCGTTCCAATCAAAAGGTCCAGCCCGGAAAGCTACCTTGTTGAAACGTGTTGCTTTGTCGCGCATGTCAGAGCAAGAAAAATTGCGTGATCATTTAAACGAATTTTTCGACGCGGTCGCAAAATTGAAAGAAATCGGTGTATGTATTGGTGATGAGTTGCTCGCTATTTTGTTATTGTATAGCTTGCCATCATCGTATGAGACATTCAGATGTGCTCTTGAAACGCGCGATGAACTACCGAAACCCGACGTACTTCGCATAAAAATTTTAGAAGAGTACGACTCACGCAAATCAAAAGACGCGAAAAGTGACGATAGTATTCTCTTTGCAAAGAAAAAGCAAAATCAATCAAATCCGAATTCCGAAAATGCAAAACAAATAAAGAAATGTTTTAAATGCGGTAAGCCGGGTCATTTCGCGAGAAATTGCAAACAGAAGCAAAATGCACGAATGAGTGGCGAAAAAGAAAAAGATAACGAAAAAGTGTCTTTGAATACAACAGAAAAAGCAATGATGGCACCTGTAGGAACAATGAAATGGTGTTTGGATAGTGGATGCACATCTCATATGAGTGCGCAAGCAAATATATTCAAAAATCACGATTGAGAGAATACAAAGGTTGCGCCGATCTCGGACCGCTATTCCTCTCTTAACGAATTTGACAGAATCGTTGTTTGCATGACGTCACACTGGTGCAACTTGTTTACGTTTTCCTTGCAACATTTTTTCTTCTTCTTCCGTTCTTGCTCACGTTTTGGCATTTCTCTCTCGCAATTGCACCAGTGTGACGTCACACAAAAGTTATTCTCAAAAATCCTCTCTGATCGGCGCAATCTTGTATTCTATCATTCTTGTTCAAAAATATAAACGAAATGTGTGAAGAACTCAATTTAGCAAATAATGCGTCAACGAAAATAAGTGGTGTCGGAAAAGTATGCATGCAGGCAGAAGTGCGTGGTAAATAACTAAGCGTAGATATTGAAGATGTGTTGCATGTAAAAGACTTGCGCACAAATTTACTTTCCGTATCAAAAATTACTGACAAAGGGTATACTGTGAAATTTTCTAAGTGCGGCGCCACGGTAACAGACAAAGCGAATAACGTAGTATTAGAAGCAGAAAGGCTTGGTAATTTATATTACTTGAAAACGCCAAATAATTTCGTTCATTTGGCAAAAATGAAAAATAACATAGATTTGTGGCATTATAAGATGGGCCACGTTAACGAACGCGATCTTAAAGTAATGGCAAGAGACAGTTCCGTGTACGGTATGAACTTAAATCTAAATGAAAAGTTGTCAGATTGCGAAATTTGTGCAAGCGAAAAGCAAGTGTGTTCTTCTTTTCCGAAAGCGAGCGTAGACCGAGTGAACGATGTACTTGAGATAGTCCACAGTGATGTGTGTGGCCCAATGAGACATGCATCCAACGGCGGTGCGAAATTTTTTGTCACATTTATAGACGAAAAATCACGATGGTGTGAGATATTTTTCATAAAAAGAAAATCTGAGGTGTTCGATGTTTTTATACAATATAAGGCCAAAGTAAAAACTTTCACCGGTAAGAAAATAAAAGCATTGCAGTCTGATAACGGACGCGAGTACTGCAACAGAGAATTTGATAATATTTTGAGTGAAAATGGAATAAGGCGGCGACTTACGGCTCCGTATACCCCGCAGCAAAACGGTATGGCTGAGCGTAAAAACAGAACTCTAGTTGAGATGGCCAGGTGCATGATGAAGCACTCGGATGCACCTGCATCTTTTTGGGCCGAGGCGATAAATCCCGCGTGTTATATACGTAATCGGTGTGTCACAAGGACAACGGGTGAAGTTCCATACCGGGTGTGGACAAAGAAGAATCCGACGGTTGCGCATATGAAAATTTTTGGTACAAAAGCATATGTACTTAACAAAAATACTGCAAAAGGAAAATTTGAATCGCGCGCGGAACCGTGCACATTTGTCGGGTACTCAAATGAACCCAAAGCGTACCGGTTATACTCAAAAACTAAAAAGCGTATAATAATAAGCCGTGATGTTAAATTTATCGATAACTCCGGTTTTGACGATGACTATAAAGACAGTAATGAAGATGAAAATAAAATTGAAATATTAATCGAAAAAGAAAACGCGGAAAATAATGAATATAATATCGATGACGAGAAACAATCAGACTCGTCGGAAAATGAAGAAGTCGAAACGGTAACTCGGCGTGGTAGAGGTCGACCGACATACGCGCGTACTGGTCAACGTGGTAGACCACGTAAAATTCATCAGCAATCGGTTGAACGTGCAGTTTCAGAGGAGGACGTCGTTGACTCCGATGATTTCTTCGAATGCAACGAGCTAAATTCAGCTAATCTCGTAAGTGAAGATCCACTAACACTTGCAGAGGCGTTGGAGTCAGACAACGCGAGTATGTGGCTGAAAGCTCTCGAGGATGAATTTTTAGCGCATATGAAAAACAAAACATGGCAAATCGTCGATCAACCAAACGACAGGAAGGTAATTGGCAACAAGTTTGTTTTTCGTACAAAGAACGATTTTTGTAAGAACTTGAAAAAGGTTCGGCTCGTAGCAAAGGGCTACGCACAGCGTCCAGGTGAAGATTTTCACGAAACGTCATCTCCAGTGGTTCGCTCTACTTCTGTTCGGCTTTTTACAGCATTGGCTGCAGAACTTGACCTGGAAATCCAGCAGATGGATGTGGTAACGGCGTATTTAAACGGCGAGCTAGACGAGCAAGTCTATATGAACGTTCCAGACAAACTTGACAGCATTTTAGAGAAGGTAAAAAAGGGTGAACCTGTTGGTTTGAAGGGTATGACACAATATAGTAAAGAACTGAAGCGTACAGCGTGCGAATGGATGAAAGCGTTACAGCGTAACGAAAATCCAGTATGTTTATTAAATAAAGCGTTGTATGGTCTGCGACAATCAGGCCTAATGTGGTACCATAAGTTATCATTAACCCTTAACCAAATTGGATTGCAAGCAACGAAGTTCGATCCTTGCTTTTACGTGCGACGCGAGGGCAGCGATATTATGTTAGCAGTTATTTATGTCGATGATTTGCTTTTGGCATCAAATAATAAGAAATGGCTTAACGATATTAAGCGTACTCTCTCCGAAAGTTTTGATATGAAAGATATTGGAAGAGTAAAACGATGTTTGGGAATAGATTTTCACCAAAACTTAGAGAAACATGAAATATTTTTATCACAGCGAACGTATGCAGAGACGGTTTTAGAGCGATTTGGTATGTCAGATTGTAAGCCTGCAAGAACTCCTATAGAAGCGAATTGTAAGCTTGAAATGCCTCAAGAAAAAGATGAAATTGTCATGGCTAAATACCCCTAGCAAAACTTTATCGGCGCTTTAATGTATTTGGCGGTATCAACCAGACCAGACATAGCATTCGCGGTGAATTTCATGAGTCAATTTAATTCCAACTATGCCGAGGAGCACTGGAAATCAGCTAAAAGAATTTTGCGTTACCTTAAAAGTACAATCAACTTCGGTTTGCTCTATAAGAAAACAGGGGCAGAATTTTATGGTGTAGCTGATGCGGATTGGGGGGCGAACACTACAGATAGGCGTTCATATTCAGGGTTCGCCTTTATGTTTGCTGGCTCTTCTATAAGTTGGGAAGCGCGTAAACAACGTACTGTTTCCCTTTCAAGTACGGAAGCAGAGTATTTAGCAATTACTGAGGCAGCGAAAGAAGCTCTTTACCTAAAAGGCGCTTTAAACGAAGTCGGAATCGAATGTGCCAGCATAAAGTTATACAATGATAACCAGAGTGCACAAAAGCTGGCAACATCTTTCAATTTTCGACCGCGAACTAAACACATTGACGTCCGCCATCACTTCATCCGAGACTGCGTGCAAAATAATATAATTAAACTACAGTATATGCCAACAGAGTCAATGCCAGCAGATGTGCTTACCAAAGCTCTTACACAAGCAAAGCATATATCTTGTTCATCAAACTTGGGTCTTACTAATCATAATGCGCTTAATTAAACTCACTACTTCGAGAGGAGGTGTTGGAGGTGCGAAGCAGTTCGTAATATATTTTTGAATTACATACATTAAAATACACCTCTGTAACATTTGCATGAATGTATCATTTTCTCACTCTCTTTATCCTGTTCTTTTTACTCTGTAACGAATGCTTAAATTGAATAAAAGTCAGTCGTGTTTAAGCAGTTGAAATCTTCGGATCATCAGTTATTTTAAATAATGAATAAAAACTCATTTTTAACACATTGAGCCACCTTTTACTTTTATTTCTATTGTCAAGGATTGTAAGTTAGCTGAATTTTGTTTACTATTTTATCAAGAATACTAGCCCATTCCCTATGGTTTCGCGGCCCGTGATAAGATTTTTTGCGTTGGCCAATGTAAGAATAGCGTTGAAAACCAAATATGGGTAAAGTAAAAATTCTCACACATATTTCTGCCAAAAAAATAGCGCTCTGATGCTATATGCAAGATGATGCTATTCTAAGCGTGCGTAATCTTCTTCTATGATCTTGCAACTACAACATTGGTCCGATGCGTCAACCTCTAGTCTTATGTCATGTAGGCCAACAAAAGTCCTTATAAGGATGCTGAAGAGCACAGATGTGCGTCCTCGATGTAAAATTTGGCCATTGATATAGGAATTGGAAGGATGTGGTCGAAACTTTCCTTGCTGATTCGCCACTTTTAAAATATCCAAGAGTATAAGATAAACATAAAAAACAAAGGAGTCCAGACATATGGGGTTTCTAGAGATTTAGACTGCAGCACCATTATGAATTGCAACCTGATTGTACAATAAGTAGGGATTTTCTAAATAACTCAACTGTAGCGCCACCTAGCGGGTCCATTTTTCGCATAAGTATTTTTCATCATGCAGGAAGAAAACATTTTGAATTTGAACGAAATCAGTTCATAAATACGGCTTTTATAAATAACTCGGCTCCATCGCCACAAAGGAGTTTCCTAGTAGCCTTTAATAGGACTTAATGCGCTTGGAATAACCTCCGAAAATTTGATTTAAATCTATCTAGGGGTTTGAGTTAAATCACAACAACAAAACGGTTATCATTTTATACATAAATATATGTACATATCTATATACATAAATTACTTGTTTTAGTATTATTTTATTCGTTATTCGAATAATTAATGAAGATAATAATTATTCGAATAACGAATA